GACCTGGTGACTTGCTTACTCACTTCCTCTCACTGTCTCTCTGGTCAAATTAAATGAATAAATAAATGCAATTGAATCTTAAAAAAAGTTAATCCTATCTTCCAAAAATCATTCTTCAGATGTCCCCAGCGATTTTTGCACAAGCCCTCTGTGGTTAAGTGAAATAAGCTACATTCTCCCTGGTTTCTAAGAAACTCCAGGTAGTAAGTTGCTTCGAGAAACAATTTTCTCTCTTAAACCAATGACTGAACAATCCAGGCAGAGTAGAACATTAATTCTTAGCAATTAAGATTGTAGGGACCAGCAGGTGGTGTGATGACTACATCACTAGACTCCCATGTAGTCGACCGCGGTTCTAGTCCCAGACCCTGTGACTTAAACTCATGCCAGACACAAGTGCGTGCATGCCCAAGATCCCGAGAGGAAAATGGTGGAGAAGGGACTGCATCATCACCATCTCGCCTTGGGGGTGATTTCTCACTTTCTGTCTCTGTTTCTCTCTGTCTTCCTGGTGAGCGCAAGCACTCTAAAACAAAAAGCTCTCCAAAAAAAACCAAAAAGATTGCAATCTTTAAAAAATAATTAATTAATTAATTTTAATTTGACCAGAGAAGAACAGAGTGAGAAAGAGAGAGAGAGGAAAGGAAAGTGAGAAAGCAAGTCTCCAGGTCAGGACTCAGACCATGGTCAGCCATGTGGGAGTCTAGCACCCTTAACCACCATGCCAGGCCCCAAGATTGCAATCTTAACTCTCCTAGTTTCAGCCCTCCTTGGGAGGCTTTTTCAGTCACCTTGTGATACTATGTTCTCCTTCCCTTTAACCTCTGAAAGCTTTATTAAAGACACTTAGATCCTGGTACCCTTAAAACTTCAAGAATAAAATCAGTGAGAAGAGAAGGTTGGGAAAACAACCCCGGAACTGACAACTGGTGATTTGGCCAATTGAGGATATTTTATGAAAGGCAACTACCATAACTGTTGCCATTATTCCATTAAAGAAGAGATTTAAATTAATCTTCCAAGAAAAGCAAAATAGAAAGACATAATCTCAGAATAAAAAATATAGTCGTTCCCAGGAATCAACCATTGGTAATTCCCTTAGACATGGGGAAGTATTCATCCATTTACTGTTTATTTTTCTCATCACACTGCAGGTTGGTGAAAACTTCACTCCAGACCACCATTTGGGACTCAGTTCATAAAAACATACAAGAAGGGGACCAGTAGGTGGCATGGTGGTTAAGGCGCTGGACACTCCCACATGGCCAAACGTGGTTGGAGTCCCTGACCTGGTGGCTTGCTTTCTCATTTCCCCCTCTCTTTCTCTGTGTGTGTCTCTCTCTGATCAAATTACAATAAATAAATGAATAAATAAAATTAAATAAATAATTCTACGAAGAAGAAGAAGAAGAAGAAGAAGAGGAGGAGGAGGAGGAGGAGGAGGAAGAGGAAGAGGAGGAGGAAGAGGAGGAGAAGGAGGAGGAAGAAGAAGACAGAGGCGGCAGCGGTGGCTGGGATCATTTTTCTCTCTTTGATTATAATACCTTTATGGGGTATGCCTAAGGTTCAAAGTCTCAGGTGGAGTATTCAGGTTTCCCACCTGGGAGTAGCACTTGCAAATTCAAAGGCAGGAGAAAGCTGAGTTGCTGTTTCCAGACCCTCCTATTGGCATGCACCAGTGACTTCCGCTTCTTTCTTGAGCTAATGAGAGGGTAGTCGGCCCGGGCAGCCCTGCCTGATTCAAATCTCAGGACACTTAAAAGGTCCTTCCACTACTTCTCCTTCCCCAAGGGGTCTGCCTCTCTCCACATTTCTTTCACTAAAGACAGACCACAGACAGTGCCAGGCACACAAATATTCTTAGTAAATCCATCAATGGCTTGCAGGACATTGACGATAAAGATCTTACTCCCAACTCAGCCTACTGTGCCTTATGGGACCCAGCGGAAATCTGCCTCTCCATCCTCATCTCTCCTTTCTATTGGGTGCCCAGCCACAGATGTTCCCTCCAAAGCACTCTAGCCCTGAGTCCTTTTGCCTGATCTCCTCAAGGCAACCTTTGGCACATTTTCAGGGAAGCCAGCTCCCCTTCTCTTCCTTAGTACCCTGTTACCTTCCACCCTGTATTTTGTCATTGTAGCAATTGTCATCATTGTAATTAATGACCTGTAGAGAGTCTGGCTTTTCGACCAGAATGTAAACCTCAAAAGATTAGGAATCCAGTCTGTCTTTTTTAATCTGATCTTCCAGTTCCTGGAACAGGCAATGGCAACTAGTTGCTGCTCCACACATGGTTGTAAATAAAAACAATTCCCTTCGATACATGCATATCAGGCACTATTCTAGGCACTTGATAGCTGCAGGAAGGTGTATGGGGCAGAAGATATAAGGGAAAGAAAGGGCGAATGAGAAAGCAAGCTGCCAGGTACAGGACTCGAACCTTGGTTGGCCACGTGGGAGTCCAGTGCCTCAACCACCATACCACCTGCTGGCCCCCATATACCAGACATTTCTTGGGGAGTGATTCTAACCAGCATTTAAACTAAAACCATGTTTTTCAATAACTTTAAGCAGTAGAACCCTTTCTTCAAATGAATCATACAATGGAAGTTCAGCATAGGAAACAGAGAAGCAGAGAGGGCTGTTAAGTCATACTTGTCCTCTTCATCCCACATGGTCCAAGGTAACACCTTGGAAGAAGATCTACTCCTACCCATCTCAGGTTGAAAACTATCACTCTAGAATCACAGGAAACTCTGCCTGGAGCCATATTATTCTAGAGCACACTGTTCCAGAAGTATTCTCATTTGGCTCCTGTAACTATGAGAAAGCTTTGGATAGATATTTACTTCCAAGAGCTGAACAAAACTAGAGCCTCTACAGTTATAACCACAGGGTGATCTGTGGGTCTGATAAGTTCCTAGAAATTAGTTCTCTACCCTGGAACCTCTTTTTTCTTAAAAACATTTTTTTAAAAAAAACTTCTTTTTTGAAAAGGTAACACAGAACTAAGACAAAAAGATACAGTAAAAAAAGGCAGTCTCCTATGGATAAAGGTGTATTTGCAACGGCATTCTACACACTTAAGCAAGTGAACAAAAATGGACTACTGATATAGGCAACAACAGGGGTGACCATCACAAACAATACATTTAAAAAAGGAGGCCAGCCAGATACAAGCGTACACACCATATGACCCTGCAGATGACATTTACAAATAGACAAAATTAACGCTTGGTGATGGAAGTTGGAATAGTGGTTACCTTGGTGTGTGATAACTCACTGGGAAGGTGAAACGTTCTAGATCTTGTTCCAGATAGTAGATATGAAGCTGCAGAAATGAACTGCAGTGAAGACTAGTATATTTATGTATATATAACGAATTATGAACATATATATATATTCATGTGCTGCTGCAAAGAGACAGAAAGAAGGAAAGTGAGAAAGTAACCCCCAGAGGTGATAGCCACACCACAGTCCCTTCTCCTTCATGCTCCTTTTGGGATTTTGGGCATGTATGCACACATGCCTAGTCTGGGATTCAAACCACGCACTTGGCTATGTGGGACCCAGCTGCTCCAACCACCACACCGCTGGCCGGTATATATTAAACTAAAACTGGTATATATTAAATACAAAGTCAGTCTCATTTCCATAACCCAGGGCTCCCAGCTACCGGGTTTCCCTCCCCAGAGGCCACTCCTCCAGCTGGTATTTCTTACCCGCCCCTCCTCCTCCTCTTTTTCCCAGTAGCTTCACACCATAGGCAGAATCCTGGGAGTTTGCTAGAACCCAAGGCTGCATATGACAGCGGTGCACTCGACCATGGTCTGTGTGCCGCTCCTTGGGCTCTCTGGCCCCTCTGCCCCCTAGGGCCCCAGGCCTTCCTGCGCCTTCCCTCCCTCACAGCTGTGGCCACCGGGCGTGGGAGGTTGCTGACCCTTGCTAAATAGTGTTGCTCCTCCGGCCCTCCAGGGTGTGCCTTCCTGGAGAGGACATCGCGTGCTGATCAAGCTTATCTTTTGACATATTCCCTCCCTCTTTATTCTCTCTCTTCTGATCCCTAGACGGATCCTGGGACTTCCTGCTCCCTGGGTTCTTAGTTTCAGTGAGCTTCCCATTTTATTTTAGCCCTTACGCTTCCATTCCAAGGGGCAGACCTGATAGCCTATTTGTGTTTGCATATCAATCAGACCTAGAGCCAGTCTTACCTTCTCTCTACACCTGGCCGCACCAACTCATCATCCTTTGACCCTCTCTCTCCCCAACCTGGGGCTTTAGCCCAGCCCCGCCTGTGCTTTTTCATCGTGCCGTCTGTCTTTGGTCCTCTCCCTATCTTACCTCCCCAGTACCTGAGGGCCGAGGGTCCTGAGTCACATTCATGTAAACATAGCAAGCATTCTTGAAGGGGGCAGAAAGTGAGTACTACCTATCCCTCGCCTTCCAAAATCTAACTCCCGGTAAATGGTACACAACCTAGGCCAGGTTACAACAGCTTTCTAAGTGTCAGGTACTGATTGGCGTACTTTTCATGCATTATGCCTCTGAACTTTCAAAACAATCATTTAAAGAGGATTACTATTCCCATTTTGGAGATAAAAGTCGAGGCACAACGTTAGAATCGGCATAAGGTCGCCTGGATTTGAATAGGAACTTCCCTAGGGAGACGCCCTATTTATGATCTTGGGGGCGGAGGGTTCAAGGAGTTTGCACACCGGAGCTCAGGGTCCGGCCTTGTCGCCAGTTAGTTACGCCACACCCTTTCGGCACAGTTCCCTGCCTGCTGCGAAGCTTGGGCGGGGGCTATGGGTCAGGGTGCCCACTGGAGAGAGACTTTAGGAGAGACCGGCAGATAGCTAAGCGTGGCAGAGGAGCATTAGGGCGCGGGGGAACGCGGGCCAAAGGAGGCCCTGCCGGCTCCCAGGGCACTGCAAGCCTCGAGGCTCTGCGAACCGCTCGGCTGTTGCAAGCCCCGCGGCGCGCGCAAACTGCGTGGAAGTATGTTCCAGGAGCGGCTTCGGGCCGGGGTCCTGAAGACAGCCTCGCGGGGCGGCCATGCGAGACGCGAAGCCCGTTGCCA